ACACACACACACACACACACACACACACACACACACACACACACACAGTTAACGTCAGTACATCAAAGTTACACAATTAACTAGCTTAGTGATTAACTAGCATGTATCTGTGAGAGCATGTTTACCTGCCCGGTTCATCAAAGTACATAGAAATAGGGAGACCAGTAGACTCTGCAAACACTAACAAACCCTGGAGGAGAGAAGACAAAAACGTTCATCAATTCAACATACTTTCTTTTTTGTTTTTAAATGATCAACCACAGTATATTTTTAACTGACTGCCCTCAGTGTCATTTCCCTCACTGGACTTCTCTCCTTCTAGTAAATTTTCGCCTTCCAGACTAATCCTTCTCTTCTGTTGCTCCATCGCCCCTCCCTTTGTCTCACCCGTAACTCCTTCAGACAAAATGTGACGCTGTTGTGAGCTTGGACAGCAAAATGGTCAAACTCGTCTGAAGCCAGACACAGCTCTGTCAGCATGGCCTTAGCCCGGTCTGAGAGGGAGACAGGGGAGCGAGAGAAGCAGAAAGCAGCGTCAGAGGGAATGGAGGACGAAAGCAGAAACACATTGTTAATAAACTAATAAATATTCTTATATTATTTTGTATTAAATTGCTGTTAACAAGCAGAGTAGAGAAGACTACACAGTGCAATTCTGCTGTTCTGTCTTTCTACCACACAAGGGCACCACTGGCTTCAAATACATCCTTTTCCCTCTTTTTGCATTATTTCTCCATCTCATTAACATAATAATTTATATCATTTAGTATATTTTTTTGTAATCCAAAGCTCTGTTAAAAATAAAACAACTCTTTAGAGCTGTGGGATTAGCAATTAACTAATTAAATGCAATCAAGATATGTTGATTTTTCTTTTCTATTTTCTTTTATTGTGGAAAGTTTTTAAATTCCTGTTTAACTGCTGTATTGATTCAACACACCATTTGAAACATATGAATAAAAAAAACACCTGAATTTTGATCTTCTTTATTCTAAATTACTTGAATATCCGATGTATGGTTAGTACGATTTGTATAAATATAAAACTAGAGTCACCTGCTTCTTCCTCCACGTGGTTCCTGACCCACATCCGGTCACCGCTCACTGACACCGTCACTTCTTCCAGAGACGGAGGGAAGTGAACGACTGTGTCCACCAGCAGCCTGAGATCAAGGGAAGACAAGAAGTGAGATGCGAGTGACGAACGACATTTCCAATATTTGGAAATAATATTTATTAACTTAACCAACCAACTGTAGTCTAAGAGTGTCTGTATCAGCTTCCAAATCCCACAGTTCTCAAACATCAACAAAACAATCGGCAAACAACAAAGAGTTCAAGTCAGCAAGAGAAGGAAAGATCAGATCTCTATTATCTTTGTAAGAAAAATGTAGAAAGGTTTCACACACCTGGGATGTGATCTGAATACATTGGCATAGCTGTCTTTATCGAACACGGCCTGTAAGCTTTCACTGTCCTGGAAAGACAGGTTATGTGTCTTCATGAGGCCTGCAGAGAGAATACCAACACGAACGCTTTGAGTACACAAGCACGTAGAACACAATGCATGACGTGAATGACCTGCTTAAATGACTCAAATATGCATCGGTATAAATGAGGTGTAATCCTTTTTGAAATCATCCACGTTAAGCACCGTGAATCGTCTGAGCAGGAAGTGAAGCACACGTACCGTGTTTGCAGTGCAGGGTGAAGGTGAGGCGGTTTTTCTGCTCGTCCAGCTCGATGTGACACTTTTCCACCGTCTTCTCCAGAGTCGCTACAGATCTGAATACGGCCTGCACACTCTGACTCACACATAGAGGAACATACGAAGGGGGAGAAATCAATATAAAAGACCAGGACTTTGTGAATTTGCACTGAATTATTCTGGTAATAACACAATAACACTGAAGCTGACATGACATCCACATTTAAGGAGATTTTGGACATGTATGCACCTTTTTTACACTTGCACAGCATTCCTTACGTGTGACAATACAACTGCTTGGTGACACATGCCATGTACAACTGTTACAAAAGGAAGCACTGCGGTCACGCAAAATTTTGCAGAAAGTTAACAAGGTTGTACCATAGTAGCGACACATCAGGAAAGAGCCATTTAAATTGAGTACAGATAAGATTGACGATTACAGTCCATGTCAATGTATTGTATGCGACACATAAACTGTATAAATAACTTTATTAAAGATCCATAGCTCATCTCTTTCTCTCACCACACCTTTATTGCAATCTTGCAGCGGAAGGTGTGCCCACTGGGGAGGGTGTACCTGCACAAAAAATGGGAGGGGAAGTTGGAGTAAAGCTACTATTATAAATGACACACACTAATGTGATGTTCAGTGACTCACTCTCTCTCTGACACACACACATCACAGTGCCATTTATACACAGGCACACAGTCTGCACCTGCTGAAGAACAGTGGTGCGAACAGGAAACAAGCATATGCCGACCGAGAGGAGTTCACAGACCGCAGGGCCAGCTACAAGACAGAGAGAGAGAGAAAAAAACGCTAATCAGCACCATTTATTGACGCAATGTTTGCACCAACAGGAAGCAACAAGACTATATGCATGGCAGGAGGAAGTGTCGGTGTACATGACAGTATCAGAGCAGCTCACCCCATCTTCCTGAGGCTCCACGTAGAGCTCATCACCGATCCTGGACAGAGAATGGATGGCTTTGGCCAGCACTGGACGGTACATACACACACACATGTACAACATCATTAATAGCTCACTGTTATTGTGTACTTATTGTGTAGTTAAAGACAGGTTTGAAAAGGCAGGAAATGTTTCTACCTTTCACGTTTCCTCCCGTCACGACGCAGTCCATCTCAGTAAACTAACGTTAGCGTTAGATAACGTAACAGTTACTACTTTCTTTTAAGTTAGCTAAAAGTTAGTCGGAACTAGCGGTTAAACACCTCCAAGAACTGAATCAGTGGGGTTTTAATAGCAAGAATCCTCCTGGTACCGAAAACATATTCCGTTTAGTTATAGCTCAACTCTTACGTTTTATTTTCAACAGCGGTTCGACTAAGCAGCATTTTGCACCGATCTTTGCGTTGTTTACGCCGCCATTACCCGCTTCCTCACTGATGACCAATCAGAGAGGCTGAAAGTCAAAGAGGCGTGGTTGGGACAAGCGCATGCGCAGTGTGTTTCTAAATTGACATTTTTAAAGCTGCATGTTTTTCGGTTATATGTGGGTTGATATTTACAATCCGCTTCGTTCTAAATACATGACTGTATGAAAGCATTTGATATGGGATTATTGTCTAAATAAATGCAATCACTGTGAATGATTTGATGAAATTTTGCTATTAAAGTACTTTATGTGCTGGAAAGTAGGCTATCTAATTGTAAGTGTATCCTTGACTTGTGTGTGTACAGTATTTTTTCTTATGCCACTTCATACTTGTACTCCTCTGTCTTTCAGAGGCAGATACTGTAAGCTACTTTCTCCTCCATTTCATTTATCTGACAGCCGTACAAGTTACTGTGCATATTTTAAATACTAAACATATGATCATTAAAAAAATATACAATGAATTTTTATACTTTAAATTGGCTACACCTCCATCAGGAACATTAAAATACTGCTTCCACATGAATTAAACAGTGTTTATAATCCAGTAATATAATATTAATATACAATAATATAACAATCTGATAGAGGACATTATGCATGAGTACTTTTACTTTTTTTAACTTACTAGTTCATGGGACATCTTACTGATTGAATCACGCTTTAAAAACTTTTTTCAACTCTCCAGTCTCCTGTAGTGTCATATAGGATTCTACTAGAGTCATATTCTATTCTTAAATAACAGTAAAGACCTGTTTTTCATTTTTTTTAGAGTTTGCAAGGTTTGTGTAAAAAGGGTTATTGAAAAGGTCATGGGGGCATTTTCTTATTTCTTTTATTCTGAAGACACAAATAACAGCTCCTCACTAAAAATGCCCTGTAATTACAACTCAAGGGTCATGGTAGGAAGAAAGAGGGTGTGTGCACATGTTTGAGGGAGCCAGGGAGAGAAATGGGAAGGAAGGAAGGGCAAATAGAGAGAGAGAGAGAGAGAGAGAGAGAGAGAGAGAGAGAGAGAGAGACTGTGTGTCACTGTCAGTGCAAAATTATCTCACCTTACTGGTCTTTCTCGCTGGCCTGCTTTAGAGTCTGAGGAACGCTGCCACGCACCGTCTCTCCTCCCATCACCATTGATATAAATGGCTGTTGCTGAAGAGGTGTGACTAAAACAACATTTGCGTCCTGAAACTACGGACGTTTGGTGAAAGAGAAATTACATGAGAGGACTAAAGTCGGGGACAGTTTTGTGTTTGGTTAAGCTTTGCGCCAAAACAACACAAAAAGAGACAGACTGCTGCTGAAAGCTTTGTGGATTATGGAGGATTGGAGCCAGTATGAAAGCGAAACATCCATGAGAAGAATTACTATTCTAGCTGAGGAATTTAAACCGTAGGAGATGGACCTGGACATGTTATATTTACGTTGAGAAACTCTCAAGAAGATAATGGAAAAAGATTGGAATATGAAAACAGAGGGAAACCACCATCACAGGAGTGTTAAGGTCTGACATGAATCCATGAGAAGAATTACTTTATTGACTATATTGTTGTGTTGACACTCATTGTTGACTTGATACACAGCAGTTCTGTTCCTAGATGTCTCAGTCACATGATCCAAAAGACAATCAGGCGATGCTGCAGTCCATGCTGCAGAGACTGAAGCTCCAGCCGGGAAAAGAGGCCCAGGCATACCTGCACACACCTGTACCCACCACAGCTGCTTGGGGGCAAGGTGGAGAAAGAGGAGCCTCCAACCTCCAGAAAGTAAACAGCAGTCCTGTAAATGGCTTTGAGCTCGGTAAAAATGGTATCCCATCAAAACTGTTTGGGATCTCTGCTGCGAAAAGTAACTTTGGCCTGAGACGTGGGGAAATACAACTACCAGGCCATAGCTGTGAAGTGGACAGGGGTCTTATTTCCTCCCCCTCCCAGAAAGACAACATTGATGCTGACACGGGTGAGGAAAGGGTGTTGGGACAGGCGACTCAGCCTGGTATCACCCCAACAGGAACAGGGCAGCTGTTTCCTGCTGAATCACTTAAGGATGCTGATATCACTTCCTTTGAGAGGACTGATGGGGCGAGGGGGAGTTCTGGCGGTTCTGCAATGTCAAGGCACATCCCGAGCAATAATGATGGTGTCACAAGCACGGGACAGAATCAGGACCAGGACCAGAGTTTTACATCCAAAGTCTACATGTGGGCCTTAAAGCCCAACGATGCACATATTGGCACACAAATTCAAGAGAATGAAGCATTGTATATGGGAAACGGAGGATTTGGAGCTTTGGCCAAAAATAAGGACATGCAGATTGTTGCGACGGACAGCGGCTCAAGAAGAAAACAGCTATCGTCTGAGAATAAAACGAGGAGATGGACTCAGAAGATCAAGGAGAGATGGAGGGACAGGCCGGGGAGTTTTGGCAATAAAGGAAAAAAAGGAGGAACAGCAGACCAGAAGAGCGATCAAAGACCTGAAGTGAGTAGATTTTAGTTTCTTTGTCAAAATATAATAAATATGAACTGAAGAGTAAAACTGCAACTTTTTTATTTCATAGATTTCACATCAAAACCAGCTGTTGACAGCGGAAAATGTCATCAACACATCGAATAAGGTGGAAGAAGGGACCCTTCCTTCACTCGACAGCAGTGATCCCAGTAACGCTCCTCCTACACACACAGAAGACGGCACTGATGAAGTATTTTTGAGGTAATCTACCAACAAATTGTCCTTGAAAATGTAAAAGAAGACACTCAAACCAGTCCTGAAGTCAGCAGACACAGGCTAAAAGTTCTCACTGTCAGGCCTTGTTGATTTGTCTCTCAGCCTTAGCGACATCAGTAAGATATGTTAAGTATTTTCAAGACGTTTCCAAGCATAGCTGTAACATTAGTTTGGGCTGATTCTTGTGATGTGAGGTGTCAAACACGCCCGTGTCCCTGTCAGCATCTGTCATCAGCCATCTTTAGTCACACTTTCATGGTGCAATAAGTCTCATGGAATTTTCACAACTGCACATCATACCATAAAGGGAAACAGCATGAAACAGATACATGCTTACATACACACAGAGATCCTCCATCGCCCTTAAAGATGATTCTTGATGATGAAGGTAGTCAAAGAATCCCATTAAAAGATAAAAAACCAATAACAATAATGGAGCTCTATGGCACAGAGGAATAAACTAGCTATCTCAGGCTTTGGCTGCAAATATTACACTTTAAAAATGGCTCAGTAATTTCCTAAAACAGCTGGGCACTGTAGTTTATAGCAAAGGTCACTCAAACATGAGATACATGACGTGGCGTTTGTGGGATTGATTCAAATTGATAAAGATTGACTTGAATGTTATTCCTGATTTTGAGGCAGAGGTCATTTAATGTGCTGCACTGACTTTACAAAATCTCTTCTCTAGTTCCAGATCAACCAGCGACTTTGAGTGTGGCCTGGGCTCCTTCAGCTTGCTGGAGGAGATCGTCATGGGTCAAGAGTGGGCCAGGTTCCTAAACCCCAACCAATCAGCCGCCTCGGCCAATCAGAGACCGTCAGAACTCAAATTCCCACCAAATCCTCATGATAGTGGTCAATCATCTCTGATTTTGAACCAACAAGGAGGTGTGAAGAACCAGTGGGGCTTCAAGGGAACTGAGGCATCCCCAGATTTAGATTTCAGCAGGGCACAAATATCGCCTGATGCTTTCCAACCTGTCAGCATGGACGTTTCAGAAGGAAAACAAGCTGCAGTACGCGACGTTCACAGTAAGGCCCATCCATCAGAACCAATGGAGCATGGACACACCCGTAGACCTCCTTGGTTTGTAGAGGTTAGATCTAAATTGTAATACATAATATACTATTTCAACAGATATCATTATGATTTCACATTGAAGACACCTATAAGCACATTTCCTAAATTCTAATGAATTGTCTTTTCACTCATGAGTTGGTCACCATGTTATTTTTTTATTTTTTTTGCAGCCTAAATTTATTCTGGAAAACTCAGCGCTGAGGAGCAGAATCTCCCTCAACAGGAAGAGACAGCATCATAGAGACGAGATGCTTCACATGGAGAGAATAAGTGATGGAGAAGAGGCAGACAGAGGTCAGAACTTAATACTCTGCCTAATCACATGTTTCAGGCAAGAGAGTTTACAAAGGTTATGTCACAGTTGTAGCTGAAAACTCATTTCTCTTGTCTCTCGTCTCACAGAGGGGTTCATGTCTTCAATGAGCCTAACAAGCAACCACGTGATGGAGGAGACAGGAGAGTCACAGCGTATTAACCTCAGGCCTTTATACATCCTAAACTCTCCTCCTCCATCTCTCTCTCGTTTCACCCCTTTTGCTCCTGCACCCCGGGGTGTCCTCAAACACTCCAAATCCCAGGATTCACAGTCCTCAATGGAAACTGTGACGAAAAGGGTAAGTTGACAAAAAGTGAATTTTTTTTCACACTGCTTCCTGGTGGTATAAAATGTAAAGATACATTTGATATGCTAATTCTAAGCAGGTTTGGGTGTGCAGTGTGTGTATACAAGTAAAGCATGTTGTTTTCTTGTATTCTAACGACAAAAACACAGTATACTACAGATTAGCATACTAGTACTGTACTGTAGTATACATATGTATAGTATAAAAAACTATTTAACAGTACAGAGTGAGTCCTATAATACTGTCCCCACTAAGACATCTGCTTCTAACCTAAACATGCAACTAAACAGTTGCTGCACTAAACATTTTACGACTGATCCTAATGGTTTACTACCTCTAAGTTCTGGTTTGAAGGAAGCTATAGCAGACATCCCATATTGTCTTGTCAAACATTGAATAAAGCACTTAAGAGAAGTCACAGTCGAAAAGTACTCAGCACAATGGAATTTTCGATCACATGTTGCAGCTAGATGAAGTTGAGGAACTGTAGATCTCAAAGGTTTTGTCTGAAAATTAAGATTATTTTAAAAGTAGCTTTTTTTACACACAATGGAAAAGGGAAACTCATGGAAAAACAGATGAGGTCATAGACATGTTGATAGTTTTGTCTGCACAATATCATGTATTCTCAGATTAAAATGTCTATTTTGTAATTATTTGCAAAACTTTAATTTTCATCTCAGTATAGTTTCAGAATCATTTTGTAATCATTTCTATGTAATTTGATACTAACTATAAGGAAAAATATGAATGTCACTGACAGAAATGCTTAATTTAATCCCATGTAAGTACTAATTAATTATTCTTTTTCTAAATTAGAAACTTCACACATGTGGAATTTACATTTTGGCAGTTTATGCTCAGCTGAATAAAATTAAAAATACTTTTTAGGTTCTGAAATATAATGTGATCAATATTACATAGACCAAATACAGTATATGACTTTAGAATGATAAAAGTAAACATGACATTTTATCAACTACTTTGCCATGCTCTGTTCATCTTTCCCTTTCTCTCATTCCTTTCATCCTACTCTGGATCAGAGGCGAGTTGAGGAGAACCGGCGGGTTCGTTTTTCAGAGGAGGTGGTTGCAATAGCGCCCCCAGAGCTAGAGTCGTATGCTACAGACTCGCAGGAGGATTCGGAAGAAGAGGAGGACTCTGTGGCAGAGCAGTGTGAGGAGGAGCAGGCAGCGATAGAGGAGGTGGCAGCAGCAGCAGCAGCACGCCGGTCTGCTCTCCCTGCCTGGATACGGGCTCTGAAGAGGAGGAACACAAGGAGGAAGCACAGATAGAGACTGCAAGACTGCAACTTCTTTTGGTTCTTTCTGGACACTTAACGTTTCTTAATGCTCCTCATCCGTCTCCAGATCACCACAGCTCAAAATGATAATTGATCAAGTGTTGAGAGTATTTCAAACCTTTGCAATAGAGCCAGAATTGTTTCCCCTAAGCTGTTTTTTTATCCATGCTCTTCTTTCTGTCTGTCTATCTAGACTGGATTATGTATTACATAATCTCAATATGGATAATATAAGCATAATAAAAGTTGAGTCGATTTGGTTACTGGAGTAAAGCTTTTATCAGAAATGCTGTGCTCCTCCCCCCCTCCTTCAATGTCACACTGGCCAGCAGCAGACTGTCTCTCGGTAATGGCTCCCTGTCCGGCCATCCTGGGAAATTAATCCCAGAGGAGGAAAACTAATTTGAGCTGAAGCAGTGGCTGCAGACTGTTGGTGGTTTCTGGTCGTCTGCTGCTCTCTGCTCAGCTCTTGAAGTGCTGAAACCTTATTTTGAAGCCATTTGCTGGCAGTCATCACTTATAGGATAGTACACCCTGACAATATTATCAGCCTCTGTTTACGTTTTTAAACTGTAGCTACAGTGATGCTTCCATTTGAGTGTTGCAACATGGGAGACAGAGAAGCTATAAGACAAATATTGAAGAAATAGTTTGATATTTGGGAGATATTTATTTGCTTTCTTTGTGTGAGCCAGATGAGAAGATTGATACCACTCTCATGTTTGCATGAGATTGTATGTTTAACCCAGATCCCTGCTGGCTGCTAGTCTGGTACATAAACCCTGTAAAACCTCACCCTCAGTCTTTGTGCTAAGCTGTAGTTCATATTTACTGTACGGATTGTTATCCTGGAAATGGGTGCTGGGAACTGTGTGTGTGTTTGTCGACATTGTCCCCTCAACATGAAAAACTAGAGAACATATTCAAAAAGAAAACATCCTCCAGCCACATTTATCTATTCTTCTTCTTCTTATCTCCTCTTGCTGTTATAATAGTCTGAAGACAATTTGTTCAGTCTGAGCACAGACGAGCTGCAGCTTTGCTTGAAAGATTGACCAGAGGAAACATTCATAGAGTACTTTATAGTGATGTGTATCATATTCTGTCATTTCCATTATATTGATTTGTGTGATTAAATTAGTACATTAAACTTTGTGGCTAACTGCTATCCATTCCTCTGCGGCCTCCCCTCACAGCTATCTTCTCCCGTAAATCACTGTCAGAGCCATTAAGAGGCTCTTTAGCTGATCTATTAGTGCTCTGGTCACCGTTTATAGTGGAGCAATGGGCGGGTGGGGGGGGGGGTTACTAAAAATACAGTATGTGACGCAAAGAGCAAGAAATACTGACAATCACCTAAACCAGAGAAATAAATAGAGGAACAAAGAATGAAAATGCCATTTTGGATTGAAAGAAAGGAGAAAGATTTGTCCATTAGTCAGTACAGTAACATCTACTGCATGTCATCGCAAAGAAGTGGACTAATAATGGACCATTTGTAAACCTCAAACCACACACACATTTATCCCTCTGCAGACCCTCTCATAACACACACACACACACACACACACACACACACCATTATTTACCATGTCTTTACACCATTTGGAGACTCTTTAGTGCTTTTATTTGTGCAGGACAGAAAAGAAGGGTGGTGAGGGTGTGAACATGACATAAAAGAGAAATTCTCCAAAATGTTACGCAAATAATTTATTCTCAGCACTGTTTTTTTTTTATATTGAACATGTTTTTTTAATTCTGGCTCGTTCGAGCAAAGCTAACAGGAAACGAGAAGGGGATTTGTTCAGCTCTAATATGTTTGGCTGACAAACATGAGGTTGCAGTTCATTGTAGCTGTAAAATGAAACTCTGACAATAAAATAACATGTTTACTACTGTATGTTGCCCTCCAAGTTTAATTGTTGTACTTTTAACTAAGCTTTATCTGAATGGTGAAGAGTAGGCCATTCTTTGAGTTCCATCTTAAATCTTCTCAGGGGAATTTTGCTTGCTTGTTGCTAACCAGGAGGCTCCAGTTATTGTTATCAGCTAAAGGCCATTATTCTTTTCTTCTGACTTCCACCTCTTGTTTTCGAAACTCGCAGGAACTTTTTTACCCAATTCCACAAGCTTGCCAAACTAAAACTGACTGCAAGATCCCAACAACCAGAAAAGGCAAAACAAATCTCAAATCTCATTCAGACAGAAAGGGAAAGAGAAAGAGAGAGGAAAGTCCATTTCTTCAGATTGTTGTTGCCAGTCAGATAGGTTGCTCAGAGGTATCGAGGGAAATGGCTCCAGAGTCATAGGAGCTTTTGATACCTGGTTTGAGTGACAGCTGGCTGCCTGGGCTCTGACTAAGGGATGCTTCTATCTGAGCCTCCGACACCTGGATGGAAAAAAAAAAAGGTCTGTGATGAAGCTCCTACAGGAAGCTCACCTGGACTCAATGCTTTGGTGAAGCTCACTCTGCAGTTAGTGTCTATACATATTGATAGTCAAAAAACATGCAAATGTATAAATATAAAAACATTAATTACCTCTTCAAACTTCTTGGCTTTGTACTGGGCTGCCCCTTTCAAGAAGTTTAGTAGGATAATGTCACAGAGAACCGTACCCTGCCGACACAGATAAAAAAGTGTTATCAAAGCTTACAGCAACAAAATAAACACAGTCCTAAGCCTGGTCAGATCTTCCTACCAGTCCAACAGAGGTGAAGGCAGCTACCAAGTTGATCAGTGTTGGAACTGTGTCAAACTTTCCTGCCTGGAAGAGATGGAGTCAGTTTAGGTGACGTAATGTACAAACAGCCCCCAACAGATGTGTTCTCTCCAGAATATATAATACTCTATACTATTTAATACATTTGAATTAAATGATACCTGTATTTCACTTTTTAAAACAGTGTTCCGCACAACTTGCTCGTTGAAAAATGATAGGTTCTTAAAGATGATGTTTTTGGTGTACTTTACAGTCATGAATGGAGATGTTAAAGGAATAGTTTGACAATTTGAGAAATATTATACTTTTTTGCTGTCCTGTTGAGAGTTAGATGAGAAGATCAAGAACACTCTCACATTTATAGGATGAAGATTAAGCTACCGCCAGCAACCGCTTAGTTTAGCTCAGGCTGACTGGAAACGGGGGGACAGTTAGCCTCTAAAGCTCACTAATAGCACGTTACATTTAGATTTATTCCTAACAAAACCAAATTCTAAAAATACAGCGCTATTATGAATCCTACTGCAGAGACGATTGGTTAAGGTTAGGCATTAACCATTGGTCAGGGCATAGGACCTGAACAATCCGGTTACTAGTACCTCTGCGACCCCGGACGCATGACATTGCAACACAACTCACATTGCCAGTGACCATAACATCAAAGCGGATGGCATATGCTTTGTGAAGTGTCCGAAATTCTGTCCCATTCTCTGTCTTGTAATATTTGGCAAATCTGTATTCAAGGAGAAGGAAAAAAAAAAAAGTGACCAAAGGAATGAAAAGGAATAAAGAGATGAAGAGGAAAAATCAGCCTCACTACCTGAAGTTGTAGCCACTGGAGATGTCAGTCTTGGCAAACGGCGCGTCCAGTCGCGTGAATGAGTACTTGGGTAGACAATTCTCAATGTTCAGGTCCAAGTTACATTTCCACTCAATATTTATTCCTATTTCTCCACCCTGAAAGAGAAGGATGAGGAAAAGACAGACGCACATTGAGGCTCCAAGTAATAGAGTAACCTAATGTTCAGAATTTAGCCTGTTTTTTATTTGCTCAACCGCTGGTTTGTAATAATTAGGGTTACGTCACACCAGAAAGAAGCATAGTGAAAACAATTAGTGCGTCTTTGCAAACCATTTCTTTCTGGAAGCTCTGTGACGTAGTGAATAATCGCATGGCTACTTCGTAAACTGTCACAAAACCTCAGAGATTCTCTCAATTTTCTCACTGCTGTTCTGTGTACTCCTTGTAATTTTGTGCACCATTGTAGCTACACCATTTTGTTCATTAAAAAGATACTGAAGAGGGAAAATAAAGCTCTCTAAGCTAACAAACTAACAGACTGTTAGCAAACACATTAGCTTGTTAGCTTAGCTCCGTCGCCAAAGGGACAAGATGTATTTGTACAATTGAATACTGTCTCTTATCTGACAGCTCTTTTGTAGAGCATTGTACACTCCAACAAAAGGAGCTTTAACAAAAGTAAATGTTGCAACACAGCTAATAAGCTATTCTCTGTCCCTTCAAAGGTCAACACTGTCAAGACGACTTGCACGGCACAAATTTGCAACGACTACTTGCAGTGATTCCATCGGAATTAGTTGAATTTGCCCTCATTTTTTGTGATGGGTTAGTGATGGTGAGGGAGGGCTCTTTGTTTATGTTCTCATGTGTATGATGAAATGAAACTCTTGTGACAATTTAATAAAATTTAGTTTTTCCTTTATGACCACTGGGTAGCCCAGCAAGCGGTCGCAGTAAACATGTGGTTAACAATATGAATTCAAACAAAAACACTTGTTTAGGTTTAAAACAATTGACTTAGGTCTACTTAGGTTTAAGAAAAGCGTCCTTCACACTCCCGGAGCATTTTCTCTGAGCGTCTAATAATGAAGCTCATAGGTTTACATTGTAGTTACTTAAAAGCCCGGTTCATCTCACATAGATGCTAAAAGGTGCCCTGTGCGTTGGTATCAGATGCTGAGGGACGTGACAAAGCATCGGTATTTGTTGCCCTGGGACTGAAGCAAAACTGTGTCTCTGTGTGTAGTTTCTAGCACAGTTGCAACATTTTAGCCTTGAGGATGAAATGTTATAGAAATATTGAGAAAAAAATAAGAAGGAAGGAGGAGATAGAGTACGGATAAGACCTTGTTTGTCAGGTTAAAAAGGTCCTGCTTAGTGTAGCTCAGCACGTCGCTCACACGAAAGATGGGGCAGTAGGGGTTCATCTCCGGATGGTAATGACATGACCTCATTTTTTTTTTCGTCATTGAGGAGCGAATGTTCCCTCTGAGAGAAAAAGATTTCATGTTTATGATAAGAAATGATCTTAAAGGAGCATGTACCAGGTTATGTGTGATTATTACATATTTTCTACACAGTTGTTTCAGTTGCTTAAATTTGAGAATGTGTGTGTCTGTGTGTGACTGACCTGGTGACATTGAACAGTGGAAAGCGAACACTGTTTTTGATGAAGATGGTGAAGTTGTTCACATCCAACATCGGATCGCTGGCAGGATGTTGACAGAGAAGGACGTGTGAGGATGACAACCAAGTCTTTCAATGAGGACGTGTTGTCTTGTGCACAAACATATCTGTGTGTGTGTGTGTGTGTGTGTGTTTATATATCTTACATCTGAACTTTGTCATCCTCGGCTGGACACCATCCTTCAATCTGGCAATGACCCGTAGTGGCATTGGTGGAGGTAACGTTAAGGCAAACACCTGTTATCTTCCCTGGTAGGTGAGACAGAAAGAGCAGGAATGTCAGTTAAAGAGAGACGATCTGGTTGATTGGTTAATACAGAGGCAGCCATAAGAGTTATGAGTCTTTTGTGAATCCCTTGCAGAGTGTGCTTACTTCCTTTGATCCCTGCTTTTACGTCACTTTTTTACCTGACTGACACCCAACCTTCACCATCTCAGTTTGGCCAAACTAACTTGTGTTGGTCATCAGAATTAACAATAATCCATAACATTTAGCAGACAATCTAACAACATTAAACTGAACGAAACCAAAACGCCATGTAAACACCTGGCCTTATATTTAATGTATAGGATTTTAAAATTACCTAAAAATTCTCTGGGATTGTCTCATTATTTTATAAACAAAATCCCACATCAGCAGAATAATTTCAAACATGCTATTATACTATGATCTCTACACGTATAAACTTTAAAGGAGGTCTGTCAGCCAGATCAAAATTCTAAGGGTATTCTGGGATTTATTGCATGTTGAACTGATTGAGCCTCTGCATTGTTTTTGTGTTTGGAAGAGCAGGATATTGAGTGTACTTGAAAATAGTTTGCCTCTCTGGTTAGCGGCTGCCGGCTGCAGCGTTCTCGCTCAATACTGGACCAACTACAAAAATGATTGTCCTCATTATTCACTTAGACACAAAAACATGGGGAAATAGGTTTAAAAAATAGCTAAGGTACCGTTTAAAATCCTTGATAATGACATGAAAGTTTAGACTCACCGTTGGAAAGGATGCTGTCTTTATGCTCCTCGCAGTCGTCATCTGTGATACAATTAAACTTCTCTTCCACCTGAAACACACACACAATAGAAACGTAAAGCGTGATATCATACATACACTCAACCCTTATTTAGATTCCCCCCTTTCACAAAATGATTGTTAAACATTATAATAGAACAAATGTAACAATGATGAAGTAAGCAAGTACGCTAGAACATATGTGACCGTGTTTTTGTTGCACTGCGTTCCTTGAATTGGCCTTTCTAAGAACCCACTTTAAATAATTGCTCTGATTTGAAACACCTGTCCTGTCAGTCAGGTGACTGTCAAGGTTTCAGTTTGACGTAATGTCAATCTTAAATTGAAATAAATGGTTGAATTTGAGTTATGACTGAAGTCAAAACAATAAATACAGAGGAAAAATATAAACAAGCATAACGGTTAAAACATGAACTGGACAAATTAAAAATGAGGGTAAACACTTGTAAAGGACTTTGAAGAAAAGGTTTTAAGAAGTGATTTAAAAGATGTTTCCGAGTCTGCAAGCCATTCATTATCATGCAGGGCTCTGACTGCACGAGCGCTTTACAATGCAGTGAAACTGAATGATTTAAATGTGTCCTCACCTCTGGACAAGTGCTTTGAAACTGATTTTCTGTGATGATGACTTTGGTCATGATGCAGAAGATACCTGTGCCCTGAAACACAGCAGAACACGAATATATTCAGTATTTCTATGAAATACGATGGTCAAAATGTGCCACATATGGAAAGATTTATCAATCCGTACACTCACAGACAGACAGTTCATCATAAAACAGATATCAAAAAATGACATTATCAACTCTCAGATTCTTCACATGCGCCTCAAACCACCACCAAACCTTTCAGTCCAGTGTGGGCGTCACACACCTGTTGGGGGAAGACGTAGTCGGCCACATCCATCACTTGGTTGCTGTGGATTCCGAAGCCTTTTACTTTGGTCATCACAGAGGACTCGATGCCGGTGTCTTTCGACTGATAAGATTTCTCGTGGATGAAGACCCAGCTGCAGGAGAAAAAAGATTAACAGCAGGTCAAGAGTTCAGTTAGAAGAAGTAGAGAACATGAAGTCTCGTTTCTGGACACAATTAACAGTCTTCCATATCAAAAAATTAGTTTTAGTAAAAAAGTGGTTTTCATTTACTGAAAATGTATTTAATTTTGTTATGCTTAATGACCATTTGGTCATTTTCCGGCCGAAGTAAGTGTCGTTTAACAACCCTACAGATCACAATTTTTATTTATCTTTTTTTAAATTGCTTAACTCTCGAATGTAGTGAGAATACATGAGAGGCACCAACTGGGGCTAAAAGTAAATCCGATCACCCCAGTACTACACAGTTAAAGATAGAAAACTACCAATTAATTTAAAAAAATTGGCAGTTTTTATCACAGATTTTGTAGCACTTAAGTAACTTAGTACATTTACTCAGGTTCTGTACTTTTCTACACAATTTTGGGGTATTTATTATTTACTTTTATGATACTTCTACACTTCTACATTTTATAAGGAAATATACTTTTTACTACACTACAATTACTAGTTACTAATTACTAAACTATTGAGAGGAAACTATCCAAATGTATATAAATGAGTTAAAGTGTTCTCCCTCTCCACCAGATGCAACTATCAAAAGCTGCCTTCTTGTTCATGCATGTTTCATGCATCAGCAATAATCCTCAAATAATTTACTTTTTACTTTGTATACTTCAATTGCATTTAGCTGACAACACTTTCACTTGTAATGGATTATTTTTATATTGTGGTATTGCTACTCTTACCAAAGTAAAACATTTAATTGCTTCTTTCACCGCTGTTCTGCTGTTTGACACTTTCCTAGAGGGGATGTTTGAGTGTAAAATGAAAGGGAAATATTTACATATTTTAACACTAGCTAGTGGTGTCTAGTCATTTGGAAACTGTAAACATTTTCACAGGAATTATTTCTTCTGAAAGTAGTCGCAAGGAAAACTGTTTAAAGGAGGAAATCTCAAAAATGTAGCCACAAAAAAAACAAAACAAACATCTGCATGGCTAGATTAAAAAAAGTATTTTTGTAATTGGGGTGAGGCTATACCAAGACAAGATCATTTTACAAAGGAAAAAAAGGACAGATAATACAAAACCACAATTAATTACTACGCATGCAAAAAAACAACAACACATCACTGACCCGACAAAATATGAAATGATGAGCAGCTGTACAATCCGGTTGATGATGCCCACAGTCCAGCTCTTGACCACCACAGACTTGGTGGTCTCATAGGTGAAGAAGTCAGTGACGAAGCCCCACACCATGGAGCCCATGGCTGCTTGTCAGTGCAAGTCAGAGAGCGACAGACGAGAGGACGGGTCCTCCTGAGTCTGACTTTAACACCTGTCCAGCCTCAACAGGTGGCCTTCAGAGAAGTGAGGTGGTAAAACTGTAGCTCACTCCTGATTCTACTGAGAGAAACAATCTCTGGTCCTGTCTTTCACTCACTTGGTGCAGCCTGTGTACATCTGCTTCATTGCATATTTGATGGTTGGAGCTCACTGTCTCTCTCCTCTGTGTTTCACTGCTTTATAACTCAAACTGGACCTCCCCTTCCTTTACTCAAATGAGCGAGAGGAAAATGTGAAAGTGTTCTACTGTCCCTCCCTCTTTCTTTCTTCACCACAAATCCCCATCTCCCACGCCTCTTTCTCTCACAATAAGCCAGAGATGCAAGCGCACGCACACAATTATTCAGGGACACTAATCAATATCCCATATATCCACTTTGATTTGCTCCAGACACATTTCTGTCATCGGTTCAGTGGGTTTTTCACGTTTCTTGGATGCTTTTATCTGAAGTACACTACTGTCACTTAATTCATGTTTCAGTGTTGGTGAGTGACTCAGAGGGAATCTATCCCCCAAATCATGGACACTTCACTCACAGCACCATAAAGTACACAACATCTAATGCTGTCTAATAGCAGAAAGCTGTAAAAGGAAAATAAGGGCTATGGCTTCTGCAATGCATTGCCTGTTTATTTGGTTGGTTTATTTAACAGCGAAGCTTTTAAAGGCATTACTATAAAAACTATAAATATTTGTGAAAAAGTTATTTTTCATCTGTTCCCTCTGGTCAGATGTTACTCAGCATCCTAAAGATTGTTACTGAAACAAGATACAAGTATAGTAGTTTGACTCCGAGAGGTTTTCCATCTGAGATCAAACTGTTGTTTTTCAGTCATTTAAAACAATTTGCCTTAGCTTTCAACATTTTTCTTCACAAAGTGAAATGATATTTTTCATTGTACAGTTTGGGCTTAATGGCCAAATATCTTAAAGCAAGATCCCCCTTCCTTGGGTTTTAGAATATCCTGTTATTTTAGTCAGCTCTACAATCAGGTAGATCAGTTCTACAGTTAACCTTTTGAAATACCAGAAGTTCGGATTATAGCTCGACAGATAAATCAGCTGAGCCTATTCACCGTATATTGGCCGATCTTGGCTTATTGAAAATATATTGGTAGCTCTGTATATGTCAATTAATACAATTAAATAACATTAAAAACAATTCAAAATGTTAAATATTACTGAAATATGTGTCACAACCATTTCGTCTTATCTTCAACACACAATTCAAGGGATCTTTATCAAGAACGTTTGTCCATTTATGTAAACACAAAGAAAGTTCATCAATATGTCCACATTTTTAATTGGTAACGGCCAACAAAATTCTGCATCATCCAGAATGAGAAAATGTATCTTCATATTTATTCTGGCTCATGAAAAAAGTACCGTGTTTTACAAATACATGACGATAAATGTGTTTCTACTTTTACCTCTGGACAGGTTTCATCAGTTCATCTGAGATGAATTCTTGAAAGTAGCTGTGACAACTTGTGATAATGTCATAACTTTAAATGTAACCACTCAGACAAATACAAATGTTCAACATCTCTCCATCAAACATCCCTTTTTTTCATTCATGTACATCACAAATAAATCCTATTCTATACTTACAGGTTCCTATAGGAGGCTTGATGCATGGTAATAAGTTATAAACTGAGTTATTGACAACTGTGCAATTAATGCGACATATGATACGACCACTTCTCAATACACTCACAAGCACCAACAGCATTATTGGCTCTTACATCAGGGAGATAATGTAATGATGCAATGACAGTGTGTGTGTGTGTGTGTGTGTATGTGTGTAAATGCATGCGCCTGAAGACTTTGTCATTTCTTAAGTGGGTCCATTATGTTTGTGGTCAATTACTGGTAACATAATCGAAGACAGGATAAACACACATGAGCAAGCTTTCAGGCTGCATGCGACTGCAACACTGATCGCAAAGATTAGAGTCTTTGCATTCCTGTAATGGCCAATGATACTGTGAAACACGGCCATCTACAAATATGAGACGCCATTTGTCAGATTGTAAATGTGGACACACATGAGTGTAGGATTGTCGGATGGACGTTTATCGTGAAAGGGGACACCGTCGTGAAAGTGATCGTCATTCAACAGGAAGGGATCTATGTTAACACATTCACACTCGATCTGCCTTTGACCGCTACAATTAGGACATGCCAGTACACAAACACCCCAAGATCACCTGAACGCAACCTCACACATAAACTGTTACTTGACTTATATGTGGCTCTCGGTATGGCAATGACGGTCAGTGCACCACTTTGGTCCAAACTGATAATATCTCAATAACTACATTTGATGCATTGCCGTGAAACTTTGCACAGACAATCATGTTCCCCAGTGGATGAATCTTACAGATTTTGGTGACCAAAGCTTCCCTATGAAATGTCTCTACATTTTGTATATTCATGGTTCCCAGACGATGAACCCTAATAACTTTGATCACCTGAGTCTTCTTTTAGCGCCACCTTGAGGTTAACATTTGTCATGTTGAGTGAAATGTTATGTTACTATTGGATGGATCGTCATGTAATTTAGTTTATATATTAATGTCCGCCTCAGGGATCAATTTAATGATCCTGACTATTCATTGAGTACTGTAATCAGGTCAACATTAAAAAAAATGTTTTCACCAAATTTACGCGAAACTAACGACATCAAACTCATCTGTACTTTAAGTTCACTGCAGTTTAGCAAATGTTAACCTGCCAACACAGTACACTATAGATGGTGACCAGGGCAAACATCAGCATGTCAGCTTTGTCATTGTGAGCATGTTAGCATGCTGGCATTAGCATTTAGCTCAAAGCACAGCTGTTCCCACCCTCACAGAGCCACTGGCATGGCTTTAGACTCTCGTTTTCCTTGAATGCTTCAAAATAAGACTTAGAAAAGAAGGTGCAGCCGGAATTAGGGATATTGTGATTTGATGTGGCCCACATTGGGAACACAGGGACATTTTTGAACAAAAATCTACTCAAATGACTGTGGAAAAGGACTTGCCAGAAAATGTCTGACAATAAACACGAGTGGACATTCTAAGTACATCCAGCCGGTGTTACTGCAGCAGGAAGAGGATCTTATCAAAACCAACACTGATCACTTGGAAGTAAACCACACACAGAGTGTTTGGCTCTTAAAAACCACTATGTTCGACCCTGATATAGCAGCCCTTTTACAAACCGCTGTGTACTTAGGCCTTGGCCTCCCGTTTGAAATGTCTCTCCAACGTTCACCCGCGTCGCCATCTAACTTCCTGTGATAACACACTCCCAAACCACCCTGCCTGGTTAAATGGGCCTGATGTACAACACAACAGTGGATAGGAATCCTCCGGGAATGTCCAGAGAAGACTACAGAAAGAGCTTTCTCCACTGGATAAGTTTCATGTGGTGATAAATGTTTAAATGAGTCCTTGCGCAGTGTTTGGAAGAACATGAAGATTTTAATCTGCTTGTACTCACGAGAAGTGTTTTTACATGGTATCATAAGAAAAACGAGGCTCAAAGTTGGTTCTTGTCCTTTACATTAACGAATAACAAAACAATCACCAAAAGGTACTTTAATAACGGTACTTTAATAACTGCTCTGGAGCTTTTGATCATATCACATAAACATCCTCAGCAGGTGGAGTTTGGCAGTCATCATGGAATTTAAAAGTCCAAAACTTCTTATCCATGTTGGCTAAAATAATCAGCTTCAAAGTCCATTCTTTGGCTCTTATTTCTTAATGTAAATATATCCCAACACGCATGCATTGAAGTGATAAAAGCCGGCAGGACAACTTCAGAACTAAAAAAGAAAAAGCATTTCGTAACATTTAATTTATTTTGGGCAAACGTATTCTGTATCTAGAGTAAAGATAACCGAGTCATGTTGGTGAACTCAGGGCTTGCGGGGCCATAAAGTGAAACTAAAAGCTGGTTTCTATTATCACCCGGCAGCATGATACTAAAAGCTGTGTCCAACAAAAAACAGAAAAGTGCGGCTTTATTAAAAATGAATCATTTATTTCTTCAAGCCTGAAAAGATAACATGATAAACACATACAGACACTTAACTGTGGCTTTAAATGCTCTACACAGGAAGAACAAAACGGCTTCACCTCTGCTCCTCTCTGTTATCGACATTGAATCAACTAATAACTCTTACACTCCCTCAGTGCTATCAAACTACAGCCATCCCTGTGGGTGAGGTGGAAAAAAAAACAACCCTTCAAGAATTCTGGGAAAAGTGGTGCACCAGTATACCATCATTTCACAAAGCTGTCAGGAGGAAAACAAGTTAGAATATCAAATATTATACAAGCTTTCAGAGTCACACGGTGTGTTCGTACTCTGAAAGACAAACTTGTAGTAGAAAAAGAAAAGAAAATACAACTCAAGTCTGTTGATTTGTCTGTCAGTCCATTTGTGTGAGATCAACATGGAGCGTATAAATGTTTGGTCCTTGGTTTGTGTGTTGGATGGGTAAATGTGTGTTTAGTCAGACTCTTCCTCTGAGCTGGCAGGCGTGGGCACAGCCTCTTCCTCCTCTTCATCCGATTCCTGGTTGACAATAAAAGAAAGAACAGGGGTTAAGTATGCATGTGTAATGAGTAATAAAGACACAATACTTTTAATCCCTCTATAATCTGACACTAACAAAAAGCCAAAACAAAAACGCATTTGAAAATAAAATTGCCTGGTTCTCCCTGAGAAGCTATTTATCTATGTTTTTATCGACAACAAACTCCAGCATGTCGTACTGGTGCTTTCCCCAACTAGAGCTCAGTACCGCCTTATCTATTTAAAACCTGCGTCATAATACTGGAAGCGTGTGGATTTACTGTCCAGTAACAGAAACCTGCTTGTCAATCAGGACCAAGAACTTTTAAGTGGCAATAGTATAACA